AGGGGCCAGAATCCGTAGAGATTCTGTCAGTGTCAGGGAATTTAGCTATTATTATAATACTATCTGATATAATCTGATTCTGATTTCCGTATCTGTTCTGTAAGCAAATATGATTTCTGAATTTCTGTACGATATAATTTGATCTGATCTGTATGATATGATTCTGATACGATTCTGACACGATTCTGTTCTGTTCCGATATCTGATTTCTGTACGATTTTGATTCTGTTGATTTGATCTGTATGACTCAGTTCTGATTCGATATTTCTGTTCTGTTCTGATTTGATATACGATTCTGTTTCGATTTCTGTACGGATTTATGTCTGATGTGTTTGATGTGGATTCTGGAAGTTTTGATTGGAGGTTTGTCGCTTTGCTGAGCTGTTGAGCTCACCCTTGTTTTCTGGTGGTTTTCAGGTTCTGGGAAAGGGAAGGAGATCCAGGACTAGATTTCAGAGTCTGATCAGTTATAGGTATTTTTGTACTTTTTGATTTTTGTACAGTCATGGCTTTTCTTCTTTGTTCTTTCTGTCAGCCATGTACTGTATTTGTAGATGATTGTTTTGAGGAAAAGAAAAATATAGATGTGTTTGTTCCGCTGCATTTGATGTTTCATAGTAGCTCTGTGCGTCTGTTTTTTTTTTGAGTTGAAATATTTGGAAAAATCAGTTCCGAAATAAATTCCAAAGCCAGATCCTGGTCTGTCTGTTCGTTAAGCTGGTCGTGGCCCGGTGCGGGCGGGATCCGTCTCGGGTCGGGTCGTGACAACAATGTTGATATCGAAGATACAACATTTGCTTGTAGTCAGTTGGCAAGAAGTGACCCCTCAATAATTGTTTAATACATACCCAACTACACACGGGTCCTACGAGCTTAGAGAAGTTGCAGCCACCAAGCACTAGCACCTCCCTTCAAGCGGCACGCCACATATTTGACCTATTTTTTCGGATGAATTTTCATATACTCAAAGAAGATTTCTACAGCCCGTTCTCAATCCAATTAATCCTCAATGTGTAAATACCCATCAAAGTAAGGGATATCAAGTTTCACCTTAAATTCTCACTGCTCCCGCCACGGGTGCCTACCAAAACGCCTTGGCGGTTCATAAAAATGTTGTCGTCGATCTTCCTATGAATCCGACATATCCAGATTCAATCTGTAATTGAGCTCACCTTATGAATCAAAAAATTCTTTCACTGGTACTTGCATTCGACGTCGAGCATGGTCGGCTTGCCGGCTAGGCGGAGGTGCCGGAGTCGGTACACGACCCCGGTAAGTGGGAGTTAACAAATCCTCATCTCCACAGAGAGGTGAAATAAATTTGCTCGTTATCTCTTTCAATTGCCGAGTGAAGCTAGCTTAAGCCGCCCACATCGCATCTAAGCTCCGCTCCTCGTTGGTAGCTCGTTTTGAACTGCCTTCGGCCATTTCCAGGTTGGCTCTGATACCATGAATGATGCAGCGTCTTCCTGCAATTAAGAGGAAACCTGCAGCAAGGGAACAACAAAACTAGAAAACAAGATAACTAAAATTGTATATATCATTTCATAAGGGTTCTTCTCCTCTAAAACAGAGCTTATATCAGCTCAAAGCCAAAAGCATAATTACTAAAACTAGTATTGTGATAGAGTTGTGCTAGAAGATAGGGTATCTAACAGAAAAAAAGGAAAAAAAAGAAAAAAAAAAAAAAAAACAGTTAGTGAAGGTAGTGGTCAATGAAACATTATCACGAATCCTGCCAGCTCAACTCCAAGTGGTCCTCATCAATTTTTTTTTTTTTGGGACATTTAGGCCATTTAAGTTAAACTCACACAGACAACATATACACATAGACTCGAACCCTGCGCCTCTTAGTTGGAAGCCTAAGCTCTCAACCAATAGGCAAAGGAGAGTTGTGTGTCCTCATCAATTCCATATATCTTACATTACAATACTTAGTTCATTTAACACTTGATACGGCATCACATAAATTATCTTGATCGGGCATGAATCTCGAGGCAAAAGCTAGTTGAAAACTTCAAAAATTAATTTTGGGTGCACCAGAACTCCGATTTCAGCGAGCTTACAGTCAAACTGAGCGTCTCAAAAATACGAATCCAACGACACCAAGATCAACCCAATCCAAGCCCAAATGAGTCCGAATTAAGGGCTCAAAGCACTGTTGGAAGGTTCAAACTACAATTTGAGTTACCAAAAGATCTCCGATTTTGACAAGCTTATACTCGAATAGAACGGCTCGACGAAACGAATCCAACGAGCTCAAGATCGCCAAATTTTGACATCATTAAGGCCTTCAAATGCCCAACGAACTGTGCATGATCAAAGGATTCGATATCGGCTGTCCATTCAAACCACTCCTAATTCACCCAAGATCTCACGCCTATTTACGGGCCATGACACTCCAGAAAAACTATAAATAGAGCCCTCATTCTACATAAAGGGGACAAAAAGTGAAGAGAGAGAAGAAGGAGAGGAGAAAGGGGAAAAGGAGATTCCTCACCTCTTCGACCACCGCCGGAGCTCTTCCTGCCGTCTGAACACGCCGGGATTCTGCCGGATGTTTGGGAGAACGTCAGAATTCTTCCCAACTTCCACGGGATGTGAAAATTCTTCTCAATTAATGACAGAGTTCCCTCTTGACGCCGAAACTCCGCCCAAGTGAGGTCGGAGTTCTCCTTTGCCACCAACAGACGTCGGACTTCTACCCGACGTTGAACCTTCACTCTTAGCTAAGTTTCTACCAGACGTCGGACTTCTACCAGTTATCGGACTTCGCTGGACGTCTACGCGAAGATGGATTTCTTTCCATTGTTGGACTTCTACCTGACGCTGTCCTTCTGATCTTCGTCGTCAGACTACAGTCTTTCGACCTCCGTTGCCCGCCGACTACGGTCCTCCTAACTTACGTCGCCCGCCGACTACAGTCTTTCCAACACCCGGAGTCCGTCGACTACAATCCTCCTTACTTACGTCGCCCGCCGACTACAATCCTCCGTCGCCAGCTGACTACGGTCCTCCTGACCTACGTCGCCCGCCGACTGTAGTCCTTCTAACAAAGCGAATACGTCGATAGTAGCTCTTTGTATTTACATCATGTAATGTACTCCATAAGATGTACATCAAGCTAAGGCCTTCTCCCAAGGAAGGGCCTCATTT